AATAAATTTTATTTCAATAAATTTTATTTCAGATTAATTAACAAGGAGAGATTCATTTCTTTCTAAATTAATAAGCAAGTGAAACAGAATCTTAAGAACCTTGCCATGCTATATTAATTTACCAGAAAATTCCGTGTGGACTGCCTTGAAAAACAGGTTACAATTCTCCCAGATACAGTCTTTGTCTACATGTGGTAGGTTGACCTTGGCTGAATGCCAGGCACCCACCCAGGCTGCTCTATCCATCTCCTCCTCATCTGGACAGGGGAGAAAGGATTCGACAAAAGGTCAAGGCAAAGACAGGGAGAGATCTCTCACCAGTTACCATCACGGGTGACTTGCGCAACCTGATTTAGTGTATTACCAATTAAATCCAAGTAGGATAATGAGAAATAGAAACATCTCCCCCCACCCTGCCCTTCTTCCCAGGTTCTAATTCTATTTTTCTCTAACTCTACCCCTCAGCGCACAGGGGGACATGGAATGGAGGCTGTGGTCAAGTCACCACATCTTGTCTCTGCTGCTCCTTCCTCCTCACACAGGGGATTTCTCACACTCTTCACAAATTGCTCCACTGTAGGTCCCTCCCATGTGGTGCAGTCCTTCAGGAACAGACTGCTCCAGTGTGGGACCCTCATGGGTTCACAAGTCCCACCAGCAAAACTGCTCCAGCAAAAACTCCACTCCCTATGGGGCCACATGTCCTGTCAGAGCCTTCTCCAGCACAGGCTTCTTTGGGCAAGCACCTGCTCTAGGTGGACTGCTCCACTGTGGACTTGCATGGGCTGCAGGGGAACATCCTCCCCACCACAGTCTTCACCACGGGCTGCAGGGGATCTCTGCTCTGGCACCTGGAGCACTTCCTGACACTCCTTTGAAACTGACCTCGCTGTCTGCCAAACTATTCCTCTCAAATACTCGCAATCCTCTCTTTGTACTGCCGCACAGATTTTCTTCTTAAATATGGGCTGCTCCAGAGTCACACTCACTGTTGCTGATGGGCTCAGCTAGAGGCCGGTCTCTCTTACAGCCAGCTGCCAGAGGCTTTATCAGACATCTGGGAAGCTTCCTTCTCACAAAAACCATCCACCTCACTACCAAAACTTTGCCATACAAACCCAATACACTATACTTGACTGAATTGCAAAGAAATAAGCTGAACTTTTTCAAATGCTTTGATTTTACAAGAATCTAAAATTCTATAAAAGTACCTACTACCTGTGGCAGTGCTAGTTGTGCAAGTAAAAACAGCAATTACTTCCTCCAACACTGACACTTTAAGTAAAGCTTACACAAAAAACTGTAGAGTACTAAACGAAAGAACACACATGCATATGTCTCTTTCAAGTTTGGAATTCTTTTTTCACTTCAAAAATACTCTTACATGTTGAATTCATGGAACACATACCAGACAGAAGTACTTTACTTTTTAAATCTCTTCTCTCTTTTTCATCAGCCTTCTAGAAATCACCTCCACTGTCTAATAGACACTAAAACTTTAAAAAATAGATTTCTGCATTACTGTGAACATTACATCCAACATTTTTTGCCAAGATAGAAACAGTGCCATCTCTCCCTTTTGCTCTTTTTCAAGAGAACTCTTTGGCTCTTCTGCACTGCATCCATTAAGTCTTCCATCTGAGCTATACATTGTTTTTCTTCATTCGGCATAATTCTTCCACACAATAATCATCCACCTTACTTGCAATTCATCTTTACTTGTTCTTCTAATCTTCTGATGCTCGTCTTCTAGCCTTGCGACAAAATTCTTTAACTTGGCTTGGCTGTTCAAGTGCATTCATTTTCATTAGAAATGTATTATCTTCATTCATTACCCCTTGCTCTGTGCCAAAGTCTGTGATGAGGACTGTCAGGTTGTTTGTTGTAGAAGTTAAGAGCTTGTTAGCCAACACTTTTGCAATTACATAGAAGTGCTGGAAGGGCTGGTTGCTGGATCTTAGGTGACTGTATAGTAAAAGGATAAAAGTCCCTGACATATGGACTGGTGTCTTTGTTCAAGGGAATAAGGAACTTACAGCGAACATTGCATCCCCAACCAAATAGGCAGTGATATGGTCAGACAGGGAAGTTTTCTTAACAGTTTGGCAATCCAAATGGGACCCTAGGTCACCACCTTTACAGACTCCCTTCTTCAAACATCCAACTGCCGTAGAGTTCATGGGGAACTGTGTGAGTTCACCTGAGCTCCTTGAAGCAGGGAGGATACAAAGGATGAATGCTAAAATTCCCCAAGTATATTCAACATAAACTACAAGGTCTCAAACGATTTTTAAAAAATTTCTGTAATTATTTCAGACTTTTCTGTCCTGCAGCATTATGTACATAGTTGATGAAATTAGGTTAGTGTGTTGAGTATGGGTGCACAGCCTGATCAGCAAAAGGCACACTTCAAGGGGTTTTTAGGGTCTCTCCCAAGTTGCACAGGTCACCTGTTAGGTGTGCAGGGGAGACTGAGGTCTCTCCTAAGGCATGTGGGGGATGCGGTTCCCTGTAAATCATGCAGGGGGTTTGGAGTCCCTCGTATGGCACACAGGGGCTAGGGTGCCTCGAAAGGTCTGCAGGGGTTGAGGTTTAGGGTCAGCTGTTGAACAGGGTCAGTCAGTCCTAAACAACAGGCAAAAGCTGTTCAGAACAGATTTATGATCTCTGCTTCTCTTCACCAGCTGGAGTAGGGTGACGAACTCAGATACCCAAATCCAGAATGGCACCGATGGGTGTCACAAGACACCCAGTGTGCTGATGTAACCTATCCCAGAGAAGCCATCAGGAGCTCCAGGGAGAGTTCCGACAGTGCCCAGTGAGTTCTCAACAGCCTGTGGCCATCCAGGGGAAGGGAAAGTCCATTTCAGACTGTAACCATATTCACAGCCAGTCTCCAAGGTGAACTGCCCAAATCCCAGCGTTGCTCTGTGAACATTGTCAGATTATTTGAGGGATTATTTTTACCTTTAGGAGGTATGTTAGGGCCTTGAATCTGCAGAGCACTTTGGCACTTACTGCACTGCAAATTAAGATACAAAATTACTGCAATCAGCTCTTAAACAATCAGTTAATGAAAATCACTTGTCATAAGAAAATCGTGATGAGAAAGAATGGTTACAATACTAGTTTGTGTTGTTCTAGCAGAAAGCGAACAGAGTGCATCTCCATCCATGTTTCAGCTGTGTCAAAAGGAAATTTAAGTATTTAGGCTGTATTTTGGGGAAGGGGCAATAAATTATAACAAAGAGAGGCCAAAATTAAGCTCCCATGTCTGATCACAAAAAGTAGGCATGAGGTTTTCTCAGAGCTGTGGCATCGGACATCCACAGATTCCTTGGTTAGGGAATTTGACTAAGTCTTTGACTGAGACAGCTGAGAACTTTGAGAATAGCTAGTAGGGAGGTAATGCAGAAATTAGGACCTCACAAGACATCGATTGCAACTGTATACAGTCGCAGCAGGAGCACCAGCTGTTTTAAACTCAGTGGCAACAGCAGGAGGAACCCAAAGTTCTAATGCCACAACAAACACATAGATATCACATCTTAACACCCTTGATCCAAAAATCTAATAGCAGTATCTGATGATGGAGAAAAACACCACCAGTGTAAGCAATGATACATATTTCGTGGTAAATCAGAATACCAATTCTGACAAGAATATTTAGTCACTCTAGCTAGATGGTTTCATGATAAATCCTATAGAGGGACACAGGCAATATTTATACAAGTACAAAAAATATGGCCAGCCCCAGGAATGTATGCCACCACAAAAGAGAATCACAAATGGCTGCCAGACTTGACTTGAGTATTCAACTAGCAGACTGTGCTCACAGTTAGGAGGGTGACCATGGACTGATTTCCACTTTCAGGGACTGCAAAGAGACCCTGCAGGCATGCCACCTGTGGCTGGGTGGTAGTAGACCAGCTGTCAGGCTGGGCAGAGGCCTTTTTTTCCAACAAAAAAGTCTTAGGAAGAATAATAGAAGCCTTCTTAAAGAAATCAGTGCTCATTTTATAGCAAATATCATACCAAAGTTTTCCAGATAGAAAATTTCTAACAAAAGTTTTGAGTATTAGAAAGCAGGCATTCTTTATTGAAGCATGCTGGTCACTCAAAGGACCCTTCCTCTAATTAATTGCCCTGAGTGTTGGGTAAAAGAGGTTTTATCATACACACTGATTTACATAATTGTTAGCTAGCCCCACGTACTTGATGTATATGTTTTACTTTATTTTACATTGTGACACCCCTTGTCGGAATTCCTTATATGTTCTTTGGGGGTCTTCTTCCGTGGTCTTCAACATCTGGTGTCCTTTTTAGGTGGCTGCTCCTCAACCTCTGCTTTTGAGTAAGTGCAATATTGTTTATAACTCCTGCTTTGTCAGCCTTGCAGAGCTTAGCTGGCATCCTCCTTGTGTCTTGAATGACTTGTTTAAGTTACATCCTATTTTTATTTCTCCAAGGCTATGCTATTCTGTTCTACTGTTCTTATCAAATAAAATCAATCAGCTTGCTAATAATATCAAGGTCATGTACACATTCAAGCCTCGTATTAACCTTTTATCTAAAGAATTGGCCTCAATGATTTTTGTAGGTCCCTTCAGAATATTCTCTGTGTGAACTTATGTCAGTTAAGCCCTATTTGATGGTGATGAATGCTTGACTCATTATGTTAACATGTAGAGAACGATCAGTCTCTTGATCAGTAACTGAATTTTGAGGATCCTTTGTGGTTTCATATCAATAAATATTTTTGTCCTATGAAATTCTTGTTCACCTTTATACTGTTAAGTTTGTTACTTGTTATAATGCTGGATGTAAGAGCAGTGATTAAATGCATTGAAATGTTTTTGTTTCCCTCTTAGTATTTTAGCAGGTATGCTCAATTGAAACACGGGTGGGAGTGCTAAGATATATAATCAATGCAGATAGCTCAGTGTGCAGCTGCAGTGCCAGCTGCACAGGAAACCAAGGCAGGAATCCAAGGAAAGTGATTGTGAATTAGTAACTTTTTATTTTGTTTAATCATTTCCTTAAAAGGGGAATAGTTTCCTTAAAAGGGGTGAAGAAAAGTGATCTAAAAGGAAAGCAGTCCTGTGAGCTGGAGAAAAGTGATCTAAGAGGAAAGCTGTCCTGTGAGGCCAGAAGCCACTGAATATTTCCATTCAGATAGCCCTGAGAGTTCTTGGGATCAGTTGTGTGGGGACCTCCAGCTTTGTAACCCAACACTGTACCGGAGAGAAGACCAGTGATTTTCCAAGAGAGAAGCTCCTTTCCTCCATGCCTCACGGAGTTGGTTTTGCAGCAGCCTGAATCCGGAGCAAGGATTTCTCTCTGCAGGCCTTAGAAAGCGCCGGGTTCGAGTTATGAGGTTCCAGATGGAGGAGCTAAAGTAATTTGTCATGTCTTGGCGGGCTGGAACAGAGACAATTCACAGAATTCACAGAATGACTAGGTTGGAAGACACCTTCAAGATTGTTGAATCCAACCCATGCCCTAACACCTCAACTAAACCACGGCCTCAAGTGCCATATCCAATCATTTTTTAAATGCATCCAGAGATGGTAACTCCACCACCTCCCCGGGCAGGCCTTTCCAGTACTTTATCACTCTCTCCATGAAAAACTTTTTCCTAATATCCAACCTTGATACAGCCTGAGACTATGTCCTCTGGTTCTGTCACTTGCTACCTGGAGAAAATGCCCAACCCCCACTTGACTATGACCACCTTTCAGAAGTTGTAGAGAGTGATAAGGTCACCTCTGAGGCTGCTTGTCTCCAGGCTAAACACACCCAGGTCCTTCAGTTGTTCAGGGCTTGGGTTCCAAGCCCCTCACCAGCCTTGTTGCCCTCCTCTGGACCTGCTCAAGCATCTCAATGTCCTTCCTAAACTGAGGGGCCCGGAACTGGACACAGCACTCAAGGTGCAACCTCACCATTGCTGAGTATAGGGGAAGGATAACGTCCCTGCTCCTGATGGCCACACTATTCCTGACAGAGGCCAGGATGCTGTTGGCTTTCTTGGCAACCAGGGCACACTGCTGGCTTATGCTCAGCCAGCTGTCAGTACTCCCAGGTCGTTTTCCGCCTGGACACTGTCCAGCTACACTGTCCCCAGTCTATAACATTGCAGGGGTTATTGTGGGCAAAATGCAGCACTTGGCACTTGGATTTATTAAACTTCATCCTACTGGACTCTGCCCATCCATTCAACCATTCCAGGTCTCTCTGCAGAACCCTCCTACCCTTCCAACAGATCAACACACTATCCCAGCTCTGTGTCATCCGCAAAATTACTCAATACCCTCATCTGTGTCATCAATAAAGATATTGGACAGAACTGGCCCCAGCACAGACTCCTGAGGCACAGCACTGGTGACTGGCCGCCAGCCGGATGCAGCACCGTTCACCAAGGTCACAGGGTCAGAGCCCAGACCTTTGGGGACCCCAGGAATCTCTCTTGTCATGGCAGCCCCACTCTGCCCCACCCCACACAATCCCACATCTTCCCATGCCCAGAAGGCAATTGGAATAGGATAAGCCCAAGTAAGGCGCTTGCCATGAATATACCTCATGCTTAAATCTCTGTCGGCTCTGCCCACACCACCCCTCTTGTGGACAGAGCAGAGCCCTGTCCACGATCTTTTATGCATTCACAGCTGTCCCTTCTGACATCCCACTGCTCCCATTGATCCTCACAGGTGATGTGGAGCAATTCCTGCTGCCTGCTCAAGTGGGAGCTGCTGAGCACTAGGGATACCAAGCCTGTCATCACCCTAGTGGCACAGCTCCCCAGCACCAGTGCTGCCAGTTGGGCCACATATCCTCCTCCCCTTGGCAGGGCTGAGCCATATATATATAAATGACAAGGGCAAGGGTGGCAGAGGGTGGCAAGGAGTCCTAAGGCATAGTCAGGGTACCACAGCCACTGGGCTGAGTCCTGCTGCTGGGGCTTGGACCAAGCTGCAGTAGGGCAGGGAGGGACCCTGAGGGTTTTGGCTCACCAATGAGCCTGATGGCTGCCTCTCGCACGGACTTCTGTGGGCTCTGCAGGTACATCACGGACTGGCGCAGGTACCCATCTGCTCTGTCTCTGTCCTCTTGCAGCTGAAGAGAGCACAAGGGGACAGAGGGAAGGGTTGACATTGATTCTTCCCCTTGGACAGGCAGCCCCTGCATCCAGGACTGGCATCCCTGCATGGATGCTCCTGATGGCCAGCCAACAGCTGGGTTGGAGGGAGCATAGAGATGGTTACTCCACAGGGAGCCTCAGTGCTGTCCTGATGCCAGAGCACAGCTGGGCTTGGGCTCTCTTGGCAGCCTGGCTCAGGGAAGCACAGGAGGCTGGAGAAGAGGCTGCTGGGCCACACACCAGAGGGGAGTAATGTGTGGGGAGCAGGCTGTTGGTGATGAGTGCAGCAGTAGGCAGGGGCCACAGCTGCCAGCCCCTCACAGAGGGTATTGTGGGCAGAGAGCTTGTTCAGACAGTCTGGGGCTTTGAGGCCACCCTTACCAGGTCCTCGCCAAACCTCCACAGCTCATCTGTCTCCAGGAGCTGCACAAGATTCCACTTCTTCAGGAATATCGTTGCTTGAATCAGGGTTTCCAAAGAGGCCTGCAGAGCAGCAGAGACTGGGAGATGGCACAGCATCCCAGGGCACAGGCCCAGCCAAAGGCCAGAAGGAGGCCAGAGTGCTGTGGTCTTTGAGACATTAGAGCAGAAGGCAGCTGAGCCCGCTCACAGGGGACACTAGTAGCTCGGTGTCCTCACCTCTGCCACAAACTGGTTCTCATCATACATGTGGTAGAAGAGTGGGAGCAGGCTCTGGTGCACGCAGTCCTGCAGGGGCCGTTCTCCTTCTTCTACCAACCCAATCACTGCTTTAAAGAGGTGAATGGAGGCCAGCTGCACATGGCTGTCATCCTAGTGAAGAGAGCAAGAACCTCAGCACTGCCTATTCTAGGCCTAATTGGGCATGGAACTGAAGATCCACAAGGGAACAGTTTCCTGGCAGCATCTTAAGGGGTGGGAAAAAAAGGTCGGCACAGAGCTTTACATTGTCAAAGAGTGGCCGGAATGCCTCAGCCAAATGCAGAGCGAGGGGACTGGCAATTGGAACATCTCTGTTCAGGAGCATCTCACTGAGCACAGAGAGTGTCATCCACACCACCTCCCTGTCTTCATCCTTCAGCACTTCTGTGAGGCTTTCACTCAGGTTTTGCATGCTTTCAGCCTATGTGGAACACAATGTAATGTTGTGAAGTCATGAAAGGCTGCATTGCCAAAACCATTCCAGCAGCTTGATCCCATGCTGATGCCTCAGAACCCAGAAGCCAAAGGCTTTGGCCTGGCAAATGGGGAGTCAGGAGAGTTGGAAGAAGCTGGCAATCTTTTGAAGTCCATCCAAGAGCAAGCTACTGTGTTACTCAGCTCCAGACTGCATGCACAGCTTCAACTGGGCAGCCAGCTTCTCACCATAGAAGGTCTCTTGCAGAGCAACGTAAGGCATCTGAGCACCAGGAGACGCAACGCTCTGCAGTCCTTGAGAAGGTAGATTTGGACAAGTGGGAGGATGCGTTCATCCCAGTTCCGTAACTTAAGGCAAGGCAGGACCTGAAAGACATACAGCACTGACAGTGTCATAAATGTCACCCCAGCAGCAAGGGACAAAGGGCACAGAGCAGAGCCCACCTCTGCCCCTCCTTCACTGACTGGACTCCCCGGCATCTGCATCTCCAAGAGGGAAGAGTGGTGGGACACAGCTTGGCAAGGCAGTGCTTGCCATCGGGCTCACCTCAACAAGGAAGGCCATGGCAGCCACCTCCCAGCGTGCCTCCTCCCTGCGGAGCAGCCTGAACAGGGAGCGCGCAATGCGGCAACACAAAGACTTTGAGATCCTGAGCATTGCTCTGGCAGGGGAAAAAAGACACTGCTGACTCTGAGCAGGGTAGGAGGGTAGGCAGAACTCTCCTGGGACCGACTTGCAGAAGCCTCTTCTTTCACCACTAGCTCTTGCAAGGAGGAAGGTGGAGCTGAACACCAGCAGGCTCATTTCAGGAATTAAGAGGCTGGAAAACCACCCTTTCTGCCCACGGGGCAGTCCTGTCCCCCAGGCAGTCAGTGGCCCTCAATGCAACCGCCCTGTTCCCAGCAGGCTGTCCTCAGTGAGGCTGCCCACAGACAGAGCTCCTGCCCTGTGCCATCAGCACAGAGACCCTGGCACTCCTCACAGAAAGAGATGCTGGCACTTTGGGTTCTGGCTCCTCCAGTGCACTCTGCCCTTCAAGGCTTTGTCACTCTGCTGCACCATCCCTCAGTGACAAGTCCCTCTCACCCATGATCACAGGGACCCTGTGGTCACTGTGGAGAAATAACAGCTGGGGCAGGGAGAATGCGGCTCTCACCTGGCCAGAAGACCCACTGTATGGTGGTGGGTATCAGTGCTGAGGAGTGTGTCCCAGCCACACTCACATTCAACTTCAGACACCACATCCTTATACTCAAGCTCACAGAGCAGTGCTTTCATGGTCATCAATGCAAATCTGTGTGCAGAGCAAAGCCCGGGTGATGCCAGGAATCCTGGACCCAGCTCCAAGGGCACTGTGGAGATGGGAGGACCTGTGGAGCACCTGTTGGGGTTCTTGGGTAAGAAGTGCTTGTGCTGACATTGCCTCCAGAAGGCATTGACTTTCACTGGCATCCGCTCTGAGCTGGAGAAAACTTGGAAGAGCAGGGCCACAAAGAGGCGGGGAAAATACAGAATCAACATCTCTGGGCACTCGGGCAGGTGAATGATCTCCCACAGTGCTCTGGTTGCCTGCAAAAACCAAAACAGCCAGAGACCATGCTCAACACCAAGACATCTCTGTGGCAGGGTCCAGGCATGGGACAATGAAGCTCAGGCCTTGCTCTGTGCCAGGGCAGATGCAGGGGGAGCAGCATCTGCCCTGGCTGCCTCTGCAACTGCCATGAACCCAGGTTTCTAGAACACCATGTGAGGCACGGGATGCAATGATGAATGGGAGACTAAGGATGGTGAGATGCCGTAGAGACAGCCCTTGAGGATGTGCTTGGGTCTAGTCCAGAAACTCACGGCCAGAGGAAAGACGTCTGAGTCGTCCTTATCGGAGGTGGATGTGTTGTGCAGCGGCCAGTCCTCCAGCACACAGAGGAGCTCTGGCAGCACCTTCTCCGCAGTTCTATGTGAGGAGATAATTGCCCTCCACATGGTCACAACAACTCTGCAGGACCAGAACCCTGTGTCACTGGGGTTTTGGCCACAACACCACAGCCTGGCCAGCTGCAGGGTCCCGAGCTGCTCAGCAGCTCTGCCCCTGCCCTCTGGCCCTCTCCAGCTGCACCCAGCCACACTGCCACTGTGAGTAGCAGACAGCCAAGTGATGGTGCCTTGCAGGACAGGGAAGGAGCATGGCAGCAGAGTCTTGGGCTGACAAGCCATGACTGGGAAACAATGGCATCAGAGGGGCTTCTGAAAATTTCCCTCTTTCTGCCACCACATGTGAGGCTGTGTCTACATGTTGATGGGGTCTCAGGCTGATGAATCTTTGAGCCCTCCAGGCCAGTGGGCCTCATACCTGTCACATGATGGGGCACACCGCAGGAGGGTCACCACCACATCATGTGGCTGTGCAAGGGCCATCTCCTGCAGGGTCTTATGTAGTCTGTGCTCAGCAGCCACATCCCTGATGAATGAGAGCCACTGGTAAATGTCCCTCACAATGGTCGGCACCTGGAGGAGATATGTGAGGAATTGGAGTGCCACTAGAGAGAGCCATTTCCACAGCTTACCTTAAGGATGTTTTCCTTTGCAATTCACTGTGCTGGACTTAAAAAGCATTGACAAGGCTGTCTGGGGCTTTGTGTCCATCCTTACCAGGCTCTTTTCACCTCTCCATTTCATTTCCAACAGATCCTTGCACTTCCTTTCTTGCAGGAATGTGTTAATTTGAAGCAGAGCTCCCCAGGAGGCCTGTAGAACAGTAGATACCAGGAGATTTAACCACTGCTGAGACTACAGAACCTGTATTCCCTGCAACTGGAAAAGGCTCATGGCCTTTCCTGGTCCTTAGTGGGAAAACGCAGCAACTGAGAAACCAAATTCAAGAGCCTGGGCAGAGTGATGGGTCAGCTCCCATCCCAGGCTCCTAGTACTGCCAGGACAGCAGACAAGATGTATCCCAGAACTGCTGCTCTTTAGCTAAGAGGAGGAGGATGCCGTGGCCATTGCCTCCACCAGGCATCCGCACAAGAGGCAGCCAAGTCACGTCCAAATTGGACACAGCATGTCAGAAGTTCTAACCTCGGCCACAGACTGGTTCCTGTTGTGCAAGTGGCGGAATAGTGGGAACAGGCTCTGGCGCGCAATTCTCTCTAGGGGCTTTTCCCCCTCTTCCTCTACCAACTTCATCAGTGCTTGAAAGAGGTGAATGGAGAGCAGCTGCACACGGATCATATCCTAATTAAAGGGAAGAGAGCAAGAACCTCAGAACTCACTGCTCCACACCCAGCTGGGCGTGGAACTGAAAATCCACAAGGGACAGTTTCCTGGCAGCACCCAGCACCTGTGGTGGGGGGCACAGAGCCTTACATTGTCAATGAGTGGCCGCAGTGCCTCAGCCAGCTGCAGAGCGAGGGAACTGGCAATTGGCACATCTCTGTTCAGGACCATCTCACTGAGCACAGACAGGGTCATCTCCTTCACCTCCCCGTCTTCATCCTTCAGCACCTCTGTGAGGCTTTCAGTCAGGGCCCACATTGTGTTGGCCTGTGTGGAACACAATGTAATGCTGTGAAGTCATGAAAGGCTGCACTGCCAAACGCTCCAGCAGTTCAATCCCTTGCTGATGCCTCAGAGCCCAGAAGCCAAAGGCCTGGTCTGATGGACTCTGGTAGATGAATGGCAAGTCAGCAGAGCTGGAAGAAGCTGCACATCTTCTGAAGCCCTTCCAAGTGCAAGCTACTGTGTTACTCAACCCCACACTGGCTGGCTGGCTGCCTTCTTCTTACCATAGAGGGTCTCCTGCAGAGTACCATGAGGCATCTAAGCACCAGGAGACGCATAACTGTGCACTGCCTCAATAGGTAGATTGGGAAAAGCTGAAGGATGCATTCACCACATTGCTTTATGTTAAGGCAAGGCAGGATCTGAAACACAAATCAGTGACAGGGATGCATAGCTGATACAACCCTATCACTGCACAGGGCCAGCTATGGACAAGAGATGGACATACACAATATCAAAGGCACCAGAGCCCAAAGGAAGTAAAGACTGCAGAGCACCCTGTGCTTCCACTGTCCTGCACAGATTGCTCACTCGCTCCACTCTCTCCATCAGCCCTTGGCACAATATCTTGGACTTGACAAGGCATGATGAAGGAGGAGGAGGTGCCACTAGAATAGCACAAACCATAGGTGTCACCCCAGCAGCAAGGGACAAAGGGCACAGAGCAGAGCCCACCTCTGCCCCTCCTTCACTGACTGGACTCCCCGGCATCTGCATCTCCAAGAGGGCAGAGTGGTGGGACACAGCTTGGCAAGGCAGTGCTTGCCATCAGGCTCACCTCAACAAGGAAGGCCATGGCAGCCACCTCCCAGCGTGCCTCCTCCCTGCGGAGCAGCCTGAACAGGGAGCGCGCAATGCGGCAACACAAAGACTTTGAGATCCTGAGCATTGCTCTGGCAGGGGAAAAAAGACACTGCTGACTCTGAGCAGGGTAGGAAGGTAGGCAGAACTCTCCTGGGACTGACTTGCAGAAGCCTCTTCTTTCACCACTAGCTCTTGCAAGGAGGAAGGTGGAGCTGAACACCAGCAGGCTCATTTCAGGAATTAAGAGGCTGGAAAACCACCCTTTCTGCCCACGGGGCAGTCGTGTCCCCCAGGCTGTCAGTGGCCCTCAATGCAACCACCCTGTTCCCAGCAGGCTGTCCTCAGTGAGGCTGCCCACAGACAGAGCTCCTGCCCTGTGCCATCAGCACAGAGACCCTGGCACTCCTCACAGAAAGAGATGCTGGCACTTTGGGTTCTGGCTCCTCCAGTGCACTCTGCCCTTCAAGGCTTTGTCACTCTGCTGCACCATCCCTCAGTGACAAGTCCCTCTCACCCATGATCACAGGGACCCTGTGGTCACTGTGGAGAAATAACAGCTGGGGCAGGGAGAATGCGGCTCTCACCTGGCCAGAAGACCCACTGTATGGTGGTGGGTATCAGTGCTGAGGAGTGTGTCCCAGCCACACTCACGTTCAACTTCAGACACCACATCCTTGTACTCAAGCTCACAGAGCAGTGCTTTCATGGTCATCAATGCAAATCTGTGTGCAGAGCAAAGCCCGGGTGATGCCAGGAATCCTGGACCCAGCTCCAAGGGCACTGTGGAGATGGGAGGACCTGTGGAGCACCTGTTGGGGTTCTTGGGTAAGAAGTGCTTGTGCTGACATTGCCTCCAGAAGGCATTGACTTTCACTGGCATCCGCTCTGAGCTGGAGAAAACTTGGAAGAGCAGGGCCACAAAGAGGCGGGGAAAATACAGAATCAACATCTCTGGGCACTCGGGCAGGTGAATGATCTCCCACAGTGCTCTGGTTGCCTGCAAAAACCAAAACAGCCAGAGACCATGCTCAACACCAAGACATCTCTGTGGCAGGGTCCAGGCATGGGACAATGAAGCTCAGGCCTTGCTCTGTGCCAGGGCAGATGCAGGGGGAGCAGCATCTGCCCTGGCTGCCTCTGCAACTGCCATGAACCCAGGTTTCTAGAACACCATGTGAGGCACGGGATGCAATGATGGATGGGAGACTAAGGATGGTGAGATGCCGTAGAGACAGCCCTTGAGGATGTGCTTGGGTCTAGTCCAGAAACTCACGGCCAGAGGAAAGACGTCTGAGTCATCCTTATCGGAGGTGGATGTGCTGTGCAGCGGCCAGTCCTCCAGCACACAGAGGAGCTCTGGCAGCACCTTCTCCGCAGTTCTATGTGAGGAGATAATTGCCCTCCACATGGTCACAGCAACTCTGCAGGACCAGAACCCTGTGTCACTGGGGTTTTGGCCACAACACCACAGCCTGGCCAGCTGCAGGGTCCCGAGCTGCTCAGCAGCTCTGCCCCTGCCCTCTGGCCCTCTCCAGCTGCACCCAGCCACACTGCCACTGTGAGTAGCAGACAGTCAAGTGATGGTGCCTTGCAGGACAGGGAAGGAGTATGGCAGCAGAGTCTTGGGCTGACAAGCCATGACTGGGAAACAATGGCATCAGAGGGGCTTCTGAAAATTTCCCTCTTTCTGCCACCACATGTGAGGCTGTGTCTACATGTTGATGGGATCTCAGGCTGATGAATCTTTGAGCCCTCCAGGCCAGTGGGCCTCATACCTGTCACATGATGGGGCACACCGCAGGAGGGTCACCACCACATCATGTGGCTGTGCAAGGGCCATCTCCTGCAGGTTCTCATCCGGACTGTAGTCAGTAGATACATCCGTGATGAATGAGAGACTTTGGTAAATGTCCCTCACAATGGTCGGCACCTGGAGGAGATATGTGAGGGAATTGGTGTGCCACTAGAGAGAGCGATTTCCCCAGCTTACCCCCAAGCAGTACTTCATTTTCTAGCACACTTGCTGGCCTAAAAATCCGTTGGATGCTCAACAGACTCAGCTTGAGAATGTACACATTTGCTCATTGTCCAAGTCCTTTCCATAGACAACTTACTTTCTTCATTCTGGAGGTGCCACTTCCCATGATCACATCCAGCATGGCACTGTCTTCTGCTTTATAGGAGTCAGCGTTTGCCATGTCCTCAGGGGCCATGCTGTTCTTGTCTTCAGGATCAGTAGGCTTATGGAAGTTCAAAAGTATCTTAAGGCAGGACAAATATAGATGTCAAATCTAGTGCTCTGCAGCAGTTCTTGGCTGAGCTGCAACAGCATCTCCACCCCAGGCAGGGAAGTCTGCAAGTACCTGTGCATTTCTGTGGAAGTAGCAATGGTTGTGCTTCTTCTTTTCTGGCAGTTTCTCAACTGGATTTGGCAAAAAGCAAGCACAGTCAGAGCTGAGGGAGTGCAGGAGAGGCTGGAGAACACAGCTGAGCCCTGCACTCCCCAGCAAAGACCAACCCTCAGAAAACAGGTTGTGGGGCCACCAATCCCTGTCTCTCTGGCTGCAGCCTGGGGCTGAGGTTGCCTGGTGGATAGAGCAGGGCTACTGCGGGAATCAGCCCCTTCCCATTTCCCCTTCTTCCCTGGGGATGTCCACAGTGCATGGGATGACCCAGCTCAGCTACTTACCTGCCTGCAGCAGCTAGACTCCCTCCACTTCTTCAGGCTGCTGTGCTAGAGCAGCCCCAGGGCTTTTATCATCATCATCTCCTCCCCCACCTTCTCCCCTTCCCTCCCCTTCACAGAGGTCAATCTGGGCATGCTTGGGGTTCTCTTCACTGGGAGTTCTTGCCTTTTGATCCTGCTGGAGCTTGGGCTTTGAGGACTTCAGCCACAGGGATGGAAGATGCCTTGGAAAGGATGACAGGGCTCAGCAAGACATGAGGTGGTTATGCACGGCCTCCTTGCAGCCCCACTCTGTTCCTTCCTGTCCTCTTGTGCACTCTGGGGTTATATGGGTGGATGCTTTGATACCAGAGATGGGTCACAAAGTGTCGATATGTCACTGGTGGTGGGTCACAAAGAGGCCCATGACCATGACAACCAGTTGGCAGTGCCTATGTCACAGTGGGTCACACAGGGTTCCATGGCATGTGCCATCCAATTGGCAGTGCCCATATCATGGTGGGTGGTTGCCATATGTTTATTGATGAAGAGATCATGTTCATACAGCAGAACTATGGGCATGTGTTGTTTTGAGGATGTCTCCACCAATGCTCTTTAGCTGGATTTTTTGTCTGATCCTTTCTCACCCCCTATGTCTTCATCCTCTAGAGTTCTTATGTTTGTCCCAGTAGGTCAAACTGCAACTTCCCAGGCCTCTCATCCTACAGCCCAAAGAGAGAGGGAAACAAAACACACCACATCAAAGTCACCTTGTTTGTTCACAATAAAAGGACAGTACAAGCACAACCCAGAAGACTTTTTACCTCAGCAAGGCATCAACACTGGTGACAATGCTAAGAGTGTGGATAGTGGGTGCCTCTGTCACACTCTACCCCAGAACCACAGTCATGATCTGTTGCATTCCAAGACACAGAGGAGGATGCTGAGGCAGGGACACCTTGGGAAGAAACACCTCTTTAAGTTAGGATGACACAAAGAGTTGCTCTGCCACAGTTCCCTGCTGTTATATGTTAATAATCCAAGTTATCCCTTGTCATCCCTTTCCTCCTCCCCCATTCTAGAATGTTCCCTGCTCCTGCCTTCCCTATCGATCCCCATTCCTCACAGCTCCTCCCCTGAATCCCAGTTGGTTGTTACCCTATAATCCTGCCTCTGTACGGCCCCTATTCTCTTTACTCAATGCTCCACCTCCCTCATCCCTAATCCTGGACCCTTCTTTGTTCTTCGCTCTTTTTCCCTGGTCCACTTCAGATAATAAAGGCCACTGAAATACCATACAAAGAGCCCCTCTGTGCTTCTTCATCGACCCTCAGATAACAATGTGTGGTGAGAGCGTCTGGTGCGTGCTGAACTATCCCCTTCTCTTAGAGGATGCTCTTGGGCAGGCGGTGGCTTTAGCAGCTCCTGCAGCACCACTGCAATGATCTGACCAGGGTCTTTGGAGTGGTGGTGCCCCCAAAATTCAAAGCAGATGCAATGTTACTGAGTTGCAAAGCCTACTATAGACGATTATTCTTCAAGCACCATTAGCAATGAACAATCGATTGACAATAAGAACAATAAGTATGCAGAAGTAACCAACACCATAGGTTGCATTGGACCCCATCCCTACTCCTTCCACCCTGAGCTCCTCCCCTGTGGTGGCACACTGCGGCCACAGAGTGGAGATTTTCCGGCCAGCACACTCCCGGTGGCCAGAGGGCACTGACAAGAGTGGCCACCCCCGGATCTCTGCCGAGGCCGCCTAGGGTGGTGGTGATTTCTGCGGCGTGGGTGACACAGCAGAGGCACAACACAAGGAGTCCGAGGCAAAGGAAAAGGAAAGGATCACTTGACTACGTTTCCAAGAAAGGTTTATTCCTGGAAGGGGAAAGGAACAAGTAAGTGATTAGAATCTGAGGTCTGAACAGTGTTTTTAAAGAGGGGAGGCCAGAAGAGTTGGAAACATCTCTTAACCAATAAGGGAATCACAGGGAAGGAGTCTATCACTGAATGTGTCCAATGGGGTTCACACAGGGAAGGCAAGAAGCCGTACAAGCCAATTCTCTTTTAAGATAAAGGTAACTGACAAGGAACATTCTAGAACAAAAGGGATACAGCAATTCTGACTGACAAGGGTAGGGGCCAGTACAACTGGGACAGACAAGGACATGTAAGGGGATAAGGGGAGGAACAGGGAGATTGACATAAGGATGGACAGACAAGTGGCGGGAAAACTTTGTAGTAACCAACTTAGGAACAAGCCATTGGGAGAACAAAATGGGGTACATGGGAGAAACCACTAGAACTTCCAAACAACAACAAAAGAAATCCAACTTTCATATTAAAACAGCAACTATAAAACACCAAACCACCACAATCCCCCAGTGGTCCCTCCACTCCCAGTTCCCACAACACCGGGGCCAGAAGATGTAATGACAGTGACCGGAAGGAGACAATATTGGCCTCCACTGCCACCAACTGTGGACAGATTCTAGTCGCCTGAAAAAGGCCCATGCAGTCATCAAGTGCCCTCCATCCTCTTTGGAGGATGAGAACAGCAACTCCTCAGATCCCGAGTCTGAGCATTGCTGGGCCCAGACACAGATAGAAGCCACTTGGAAGGGTGACTGAGAGCTGGCCAAAAAGATACTGACTGTCCCCGTAATTTGCAAATTAAGCAGGAGGGCAACTGCAACCGTTAGCTGGGAGCCAGTTCCCCACAGGGAGTTAAAGGAACTTTGTAAGGCAACAAAAGAGCATAGTCGAGGATCCCACTTTTTCAAAAACCTACTAGAAGCTACCTTCTCCATGCATGTTCTAGTTCCACATGACATCAAAAATATTATGAACTGCTTTCTCCACCCTGCTGAATACATGTTATGGGAGAGGCAGTGGAAAAAAATCTAAAATCATTATCTGACAAATATGCCAAATATGCCAAAGATGCCAACAGGCAAAATTTATTGGTGGAACAGATTGCCAGAGAAGGTGACTTCAAAAACCCCTAGAGCAAGCAAAGGATCTTCATGAAGATGCTGTAGCTGACATTTCTACACCAGGAAAGACCTCTCTGTTTCTCACACCTGACGATAATGCTCCGACCCAAAGTTTTGCCAGCATAAAACAAGGGGTGACCAAAACGTTTGTAAAGTTTATTGACTGATTGAAGACCACACTCAAAAAACAGACTGAGAGCCTGTAGGCTTGGAAAGAAATTTTGGTAAAAAATGGCTATGGCCAATGCAAACCATGAGTTTGCAGGTCGATTTTGAGAGCTCTTCCCAGGGACACAGAACCAACCATTGACCAGATGGTTGAGACATGCACCAGAAAACACAGTGGCCCAAGCAGTGGCAAAAGGAATTGCAGAGGGAGTCTCTGGAGCTTTCGCTGTCATATCATCCAGGAAGAACTCCAGATGTTTCAGTTGTGGGGAGCTTGGACATTTTTTAATAGACTGCCTTGAAAAGCCCTCTCTCCAGGACTGTCAACCAGACCATCAGTGGCCCCAAAGACAGCCTAGGTTCCAGCTGCATTGAGGAAGCTCCAAGCAGAGTGCAGGATGGCCCTGCACTCTGACACCAAATTAAATGCCTTATTGCTCTATCCCACCTATGAGGTCCACTGTCCTGCCTGTGAGGTCCACTGCTGACCATCAGAAGCAGGGAAATGGAATGCAAGCAACACCATGGGCTATCCCCAAACACATTGCCAAGATTCAACACACAGAGCGATACAGGTGGGAACCTGGCACCAGCTGGTAACCTCTCTATCCATCAACTTCACCGATGAATGCATACACCACATTCCTACCAGGACGTTTGGGCCATCTGATAGTCCTTCCAGCATTTTAATTATCGGAGACACCTATCAGGGGACTGAACAAATTTACATAATTCCCGAAGTCCAGACTGTCGGCCCAGGAAAAGAGATTTTGGTACAGATTTAGTGTAATGACCCTCCTTTTTATCTCTCAAAAGAGACACCAATTGTGCAGGCCTTCCTCCTGCTAAAAGACAACCTGGAACAAGTTCCCCTCAACCTGATCATCATGTGGATGCAGACTGTGGGCACGAGGAAACCCACCATGGCGTGTGGGCTGTTTTGTAAGGGGGAGAAGGTCCACCGCCCAGGGATGTTGGACACTGGAACAGATGTCACCATCATCACTCACTCCCAGTGGCCAGCAAACTGGGAATTACAGCCGGGGTGGGGATTGTCGGAACTCAAAATGTCCCTCAGACATTTTTAGAGGTTCCAGGCCTTGGTCAAAAGCATTTTAGACCTTGGCAAGCATCTGAAAACAGCTGTGATCTTGAGTTTGAACCATGGAATGAATTACCAACTTTGAAGGTGGAACAAGCGGTCACAGAGAGTTAGATGGTATAGTAAAAGTAGTCACAAATTAGAGGGAAAAATTTTTTAGTATTGTACAGGGGGGTTTTACTTTGTTCATGGGGGTCAGGAGTTCTAAGATGGAGGAAAGTGGGCCTGATCCTGTTCTTCCTCCTTCTTCTTCCTTACCTCCATGTTCTTGGTGATGTTGGCACTCACAGATTGGTTTAGAGTAGAAAAGCACATTGTAACATGGATAGTAGGTATTGGGGAAAATCTGTAAACATATAATACGTAATATATCATATAAAAGATAGCAGCAGCCTTGGGCGGGGGGAGAGACGACGGAGACACCGGACAGTGAGGGTGTCAGGAGTGTGTGTGCCTCTGCCTGGGCCACTGACCAAAGCAGCCACAGCGGGCGAGGACAATCTTTTAGATAGCTAGCAATAAACTGCCTTGAGACCAAACCACAAGAGGCTGCGGAGTTTTTCTTTGGAAGCACGGGTTGGAGGAGAGACTTTACCACCACACGAGACCCCTGAATCAATCCGGGGTTCTCACAGGGGATGATCTATGGGATTGGAGGTGTGGCTGTGTTGATGCACAGCAAGAAAAACATCATAGTTGCCAACTGGGACCGCCAACATCCCCAGTATTTTTACACAAGAGAAGTTATCACATTCCTTCTTTCATCAGAATGTACCAGCTCTCATGTGGATGTTCAAGTTACCAAGAAATCAAGCTAGAGCAATTGTGGGCACCTGCCCCAATTGCCAATCATATCAAATACTGCCAATAGGATCCAGAGTTAATCCCTGGGGACTGGGATGCCAAATCCCTGGAGCAGACATCAAATATGGCAGACTGATGTGATTCACATCCTGTCCTTTGGAAGGACCAAATATGTTCACGTGTCCATAGACACATTTTCAGGAGTGGTGTTTGCATCAGCCCACGCGGGAGAAACTGCCAAGCACACCATCTGGCATTCCTCCTTGCGTTTGCTATGCTGCGAGACCCTGAACTGATAAAAACTGATAATGGGCCTGCTTACACCTCCGACAAGTTAAGAGATTTCTTTAATCAGCAGGGGGTAAGGTACCACAGATTATACCACAGATATAACTCACTTTTCTACAGGTTAGTCAATCATTTAAAGACCCATCAGACTCTTAAGAAAGTCTTAAGAGATCAGCAGTGGGAAAGAACAGAGACAGAGACTATGCCTCCCATTGAGAGGCTCTGTAAGGCTCTGTATGTTATCAATTTCCTAAATTGTCCAGCCTCAGAGCCAAACCTCCCACAGCTGCTCATTAAGGACCCAGAAACACAACAAATATCAGGGCCTTTCCCTTTGATTACCCGGGGGAGGGGGTATGCCTGTTTGTCCACACCATCTGGCCCCAAATGGCTCCCAGCAAAAAATATAAAATCATACTTTAGCTCTGCAAGCACTGGTTCCACAGAAAATAACTCAGATCCTTTCGAGACCCTTACAGAGACACCTGAACATCAGAGAACAACCGCCTGGAAACACAGATGATGTCAAACACCCATGCACCAAAGACCAAGCCATCCCATCACCAGGTCACAGACCTGACAAGTCCCTGAACAACCCTCTGCACTGTTGGTTTAGTCA